CTCTAAATGGAGCTCTACTGAGGTGGCAGCCAAAAAAAGATGGGGAAGTCCATTTTGTATATACAGTGCATGTGTTTCACGCATTGTGGAAAAAAAGAAAAACAAAAATCGGCACTTCCTCTTATAGTTCTCTCATCTACCGTCCCTCTCCCCTACCGTCCGACGTCTAGAAAAGGAAAAAAAAAATACAAAACAAACCCACTGACCGGCGTAATATTGCTACAGGTACCTCAAATGGCTTCTCTGGTTTTCTCTCTTTTGTTATTTCTTCACCTCTTACCTCATCTCCCACAACACAATTCTTCAGCAACCCACTACTCATCAAGAACAACACAAAAACCCCTCCATCCTCTCCCCTTTCTAGAAAAGAAAAAAAAAGAAAAAAAAAAGAACAAAAGTAAGGACCACCTCCGGCGACCACCATCGGAAGCAATCCACCGGCGCAAAAAAGAAAAGAAAAATAGATATGAAAATTTTTGACTTGTTTTCGAACGAAAACCTTTGGATTTTTTATTTTTTTTCCCCTTTTGTTGCTCAATCTCTGTTACTTATTGAATTCAAGTTCTCAAGATTCCAAGGCCTAGAATGTGAATAAGTCTATTAGATTATAAATATAAAGCAATGAGGAAAAATGAGAAAGAATGAGAGAAGGGATAGCGGATAGTGAGGGAGGAGGGAGAGGTATAGAGGGCTTGACAGGGCACAGTCGACTAGTGATAGGAGAAAGAAGAAAATGGGTTACTGCTGTCGGCAATAGTGGTGGATTTGACAGTTTTTAGATAGAAGATAGATGAGAGAGAAGGAAGATTGGTTGTCGGTGAGAGGAAATAGAGATGAGGGCCAGAGGAGATGGCCAAATATTGTCGTCATCGATGGAGAGGCCATTGGTGGTCGGTGAGAGAAAAAGAGGATGACGAGAGAGAGGAGATTTGTCGTGGCAAAGATGAAAGAGAAAGATAAGAGAGAGAGAGAGAGAGAGAGAGAGAGAGAGCAAAGAGGATCAGAGAGAGTGTGGGTTGTTTTCTTACTGTACGGGGAGCAAATATTCCGGCAAGCCCGTACTCCTTTATTCCAAGCTCCGTTTCTGTCCGATCACCTGCGAGCACAATAGCGGTGAGCTACCCGGCGGTGTGTGGCCGGAAAACCCCTCCAACGATCAAGTCTCAAGATTCCAAGGCCTAGAATGTGAATAAGTCTATTAGATTATAAATATAAAGCAATGAGGAAAAATGAGAAAGAATGAGAGAAGGGAGTAGCGGATAGTGAGGGAGGAGGGAGAGGTATAGAGGGCTTGACAGGGCACAGTCGGCTAGTGATAGGAGAAAGAAGAAAATGGGTTACTGCTGTCGGCAATAGTGGTGGATTTGACAGTTTTTAGATAGAAGAGAGATGAGAGAGAAGGAAGATTGGTTGTCGGTGAGAGGAAATAGAGATGAGGGCCAGAGGAGATGGCCAAATATCGTCGTCATCGATGGAGAGGCCATTGGTGGTCGGTGAGAAAAAAAGAGGATGGCGAGAGAGAGGAGATTTGTCGTGGCAAAGATGAAAGAGAAAGATAAGAGAGAGAGAGAGAGAGAGAGAGCAAAGAGGATCAGAGAGAGTGTGGGTTGTTTTCTTACATAATGTGTTCCTCGTAGGGATGACAATTTGAACCCGGCCCGACAGAGACCCGACCCCCCGACCCCGATTAGAATGGTTATTCCCCGAAAAATACCTCCGTAGGGACGATGATGGTATTTAAAATTAAATTCCCGATCAATTTCGGGCCGGGGACGGTGATAGATTTCCTAAGCTCGGGCCCGCCCCGAAATTCCCCTGAAATTTCCCCGCATGTATATATATGTGTTTAGGTTATATTAATATTATATCTATCTATCTAATCTATCTCAGCTCTCTCTCTTTCTCATTCTCTTTCACTCTCGTCTCTGAAACTGAACTGTCTTCTCTCTTTCTTATCTCTTCACTCGCTCGTCGCACCACACCTACAGTCTCTCTCTCTCTCTCTCATTCTCCTCTACTCTCTGGAACTATCTCCTCTCTCTCATCTCGATCGTACCATCCATCTCTACTGTGATGTCTTCGACGACTCCGTTTTTTACTCTGTTAAGCTCTAGATCTCGATCACGCCATCCATCCCCATTGCTGCCTCTCTTTCTCTCAGTTCCAATCATTCTCAGAAAAGGTGAATGCGGAGCAGATCGATCCGAGATATCTACCGCCACTGTTTGATGTCTTTATCTCTCTCTAGATCTGAGTTTTGTAGTTATTGTGTTGATGTTGTTAATCTCTGTTTGTTATTGATGTTGATGTTGATGATGATCCGATTGTAGTTGTAGATGTTGTTGATGATATTGATTAGTTGTTGATGATGATGTTGATGTCGATCCGATGGGAATTTTTTTTTTTATTTTATGTGCGGGAAATTTTCGGGGTCGGGGAAACCCGATCCTTGATAGGGACGGGGGTGGGGATGGTGATAGATTCCCCGTCGGGGATCAGGGCCGGGGAAATTTTCTCCATCGGGGATTGAGGACGGGGAGTATGATCCCCGGCCTCGGCCCGCCCCATTGCCATTCCTAGTTCCACGTCATTAGAGGTCTAATAAGGGTCTTGAATTAGAATTCTAAAGTATTTTTGTAACATTTTATGGTGTTGATTAACATAAATATCATAGCTAAACTTTTGTAGTCATAATTAAAAAAAAATTGAGGTATAACCAAACATCATACAAAGCTACTGTGTGGCAATATGGTTGGAAGTGAGTTTGGATAAAAAAAAATAAAAAAAAAGACAAAATAGGCTAAATAAGTCAATAAAATAAAAATGTCACTTCCAAACATAATCATTTTACTTTTTCTCTAAAAAAAAAATAATAAAGTCAAAAAAATTTCTCAGAATGAGCTAATCTAGCCCAGCTAAATTAGTCAAAAAATTGAAAATTTAGACTAAAAAAATTATTCCCAAATGAACCTAAATATAACCAAAATAATAAAAGAACATTTAGGCCTTGTTTGGGGTATTATAAAAAAGTCAAAAAGTCTCAAACTCAACCCATACCCAACTTATATTTCACAAAAAATCAAAAAATACACTTAGGGTTGTTTTGGAAAGTTGGTAAAAAGTTAAATTTTTAATTTTTTTAGTGATTTTTTTGGCAAAAAACTGGGTTGTTTTGGGTAAAAACTCTGATTTTTTTGACTAAAAAAACTAAAAAATCAAAAAATTGACTTTCTACTGTTGTTGCCAAAATACTTCTTATTTAGATCATCTCAAATCAACCATTTATAGTTATCAACAAAAAATTTCTAATATTAAAATTACTAAACTATTCATTCCATTAATGCTATTCGTCACAGGCGTATAATTTCAGGATAAAAATGAGAGATTGGTGTAATTGTTAGCCTTCGTTTGGGAAGTAGGTTGGCTTTTTGGCTTTTTGACTTTTTTGGCTATTTTAGCCTGGGCTAAAAAGTTTGGTTTGGGAAGGGCTTTTTGGCTTTTTGACTTTTTTGGCTTTTTTTGTGAGAGAATAATGTAATGATTATGGGTTAGATGTGATGTTTTATTTTTTGTGGCTAAAATAGTCTATTTTATCTTTTGTGGCTAAAATAGCCCAAAAAGTCCCGTTTAGCTCTTGCCAAACGGAGCCTTAGTCACCTCAAGGGAGGTGACTGTAATTTAGGCCTTATTTGCATCCCATAGAAAAGTTACTATTTTATTTAAATTATATCATATTATTTAAGTTATATCACTTCTCTACTACATCACTTCAAATTCAATTCATATTTCATAAAAATTTAAAAAGTACACTTATTTAGAATATTCCAAACAACCCCTTACACTATATTCTACCATTTTTTTTATTGAATAATACTATATATATTAATTATTGATTTGATATAATTTAAGAGACTTTTAATATTTATTGTTTGTATAATAAATATGGTCAATATTAATCTCATAACTAATCTTAATACACTAATTAATACATATGCCACCATAATTTTTGGATTTTTTTTTTTTGTTACAGGAAAATCCTCCATACCCTCCCGCAGGTCCAAGGCAGTGCCCCTTACAGAGATTACCAAGGTGTCCTGTTAGCCGTTTCGAGCGAGGAGACTATAACCTGGAAACTTGCCCGAGACTATGGGCTATTTTGGGAAGTTGGCTTTTAGCCACTTTTTTTGGTTTGTAGCAAAAGTCAAAAGTTGGTTTTTTTGTCCTTTTTTTTTTATTTGGAAAGTTGGTTTTTAGGCAACGGTGAAATTACAATTTTACCCTCATGGGTCAAAATGTGTTACATAGGTGAAGTTGTAAATATTTTAAATAAATGGGGATAGTTTGGTCATTTTATTATGATTTGACATCATAAACAAATATTAATAAAAAAAGGCAAAAGTCACTTTTTATCAATTTCTCAAATCATTTGTCTAAAAAAGTCAAAAGCTTAGTTAAAAGCCAAAAAGTCACTTTTTACCATCTTTCCAAAACAACCTGACTAGATAACTTGAGATCCAACCTCCCAACCAATAGTACTTTACTCAAGAAATTGACCCAAAAGAAGAATTAAACTTGTGACCTTAAGACTTAGGCCAAGTTTGGCATGATTGAAAAAAGACAAAAAGTTAAAAAGTCACTATCCTATTTAAGTCATATCATCTTATTTAAGTCACATCACCTCTCTAATACATCACTTCAAATCCAACTCAAATTTCATAAAAAATCAAAAAATACACTTATTTAATCTTCTCAAATTAAACCTTAAATCCCAAGGCCTTACCGCAATGCTATAACAGTTATTTGGAATATTGTTTGGCGTATAAACACGTTAAATGAACATACGGAGTTTAGGCGGGAAACCAGTTGAGTAGTGCTGCCAAAATGACAAAACCAACCATCCCATCAAACAGAATCAGTTGCTGACGTGGTAATCTCCCACAAGTACACCCAATAGATAAATACTAATAAAAACAAAATCTGCGAGGGAAAAAGAAGGGGAGAGAGAGAGAGAGCGCGCGAGATCGATATACATGTAGAGAGAGAAAATATGTACATGTAAGGGGAGAGAGAGAGAGAGAGAGGAGGCACGCTCACAAGCTAAATTCTCAGAAAAAACTCTGCAATTCTCTTTCTGTTCCTTTCGAGAGCTAGTCGAGATCAAAATTCGACGAATCAATACTTCGGATTCGGTGCTGCTGAGTTCTTCAATCGGCTCGTTTTCTTCGCATTCGGAACAAATCGACCTCAGATTCGTCACAAAATGGCTTCACGAATGACCTATAACAAAATTTTGATCGCAGCCTAGGTAAACAAGACAATCATTGCTTTGTTTTCTTTATTTTTCTGACTTTTAGAGGCGGTGTGATGTTTTTGTTCGTGAAAATTGGGGGCACTCTGCGTAATTGATCCACATTGTGCCAAACCCTACCTTTTTGAAGCTCACTAATTGTTTTATTCAGTGAGAATGCATGAATTTGACAAAACTGATGATGTTGATTCAAATTTGTCTTTGTTATGATAATAATGTGATTGATTTGTTGTGGTTAAGAGAAGCCAAACGCCAAGTGTATGATCGTTGTTCTTGATGTGTTCTTATAGGTTGTTGTGATTGATCGAGATTCTGATGGATTTGAAGATTGAAGTGCTTTGGTAGATTAATGCCAGCGAGTTGTTAGTCTTTTCAGTTTATGGTTTACATGGAGTTTCATTAGCCATTCAGTAGGTTCTCAGAAAGTCTGAGGGAAGAAAATGGTGAGCTTTTATTATGAATGAATTGATATTTTAATATGTTTCTGTTTCTGTGTCCTCTCTATCTTGATTAGAACCAAGCCGAGGATACTGGTACTCTTTTGATGGAGTTATGGGAATTGTATTTCTGTCTTTAGTGCCGAGCGTGCTGTTAGGTTTTTTATGGGGCGAATTTCGACGCATCTTCTAGAGATTTTGTGTTGTCCGAATGGAATTTACACTGCACAAGGGCTATACCTGATATTGCAGTGTGAATGGCTCATATACAGAGGACTAGTTTTGATGAGAGGGATGTCGAGCAGGTGATGTAACTTCTCTATCTTTTTCCTTTTCTTTTCTTTCATAATTTTATTGCCAATTAGAATTGTTTTGCTTTTGTTTCCTATCTGAGGTTGTTTCCATAGCTATATGCTGGGGACAGCTTTGACTATTAAATATTGTAGAAGCCATTTTCACAACTTTTTAGGAGAAGAAGCAAATGTAAAAAAATCATAAACCAATTTATTGGGCCACATTGAATCTGTTATGTCTGACACAATTTCTTTCTCAATCGGAAAAATACTACACACTCACAAGACTACAAAATCAAACAATGGAGGGGCACAATGCCCGCTCAAATATACATAGTTGCCAAAAATTTACTTCAATTTACAAATTAAGACTTTAGAAATTTTGTTCTTTCCTTTAATAGCCAGAATCTGAAAGTGTGGCTTCTGTGTTGACTTGATATCCAATTGCATTGAATTTCCCATTTGAAAGTCTGCTTTAAGTGCTTTCAGTTTTCTTTTCTCTGAGAGAACTAAGATGGCTGTTGGTATCTGCAACTGACGGAAATGAGTCTTGCTGGAGTTCTTAAACATAAACAAAGAAGAAAAAAGAATAGAAGAACAAAAAAATAAAAACCAACAAGAAGTCATATGAAATATTTTTCACTTTAAGGTGCAAGTCTCCATTCCAGTTTTACATTTTGACTGCCTAGGAACAATTAAAATGCTTATGCGCCATTTTGAATTGTGAACAAGTAGTATCCTAGTTTTGAATATTAGTTACATGGTTAATTCTTTTGGCTTCCTCTTTGAGTCGAATGGTCCCTCTTCTTACATTGTAATCTATAGGTGTCACTGAGAATATGATAGGAAGGCTGGCCTTTTGATCAAGTTTGCAAGTGTTCTTGCTTTGGAGTTGAGTGATTCCTCATTTTGATCGAGTATTTATTGTGTAGAGTAATCCAGCAGTGCATCAAGTGATTTTGTTGCTTGTGGTCCAGTGGTTCCTATGCTTCTATCTTTGCTTTGGGCCTAGACATGGGATGGATGCCCATGATTAAACTCCATTTTTGGTGCAGGAAGCCCATGATTGGGAATTTCTTGTGATATCATAAAGTTTTTATTTATCTTCACATATGCTAATTTTCTTAATATTCTCCCTGTTTCCTCTTAGGGTACTTCAATATGCTATATGCTTTTGCTAAATTATCCATGAGTGATCTGATAATTTTTTCTGTATCTTATTTTTAAATGTAGTCTATTGCAGCCTTAAAGAGGGGGGCATATCTGCTAAAGTATGGACGCAGAGGGAAGCCGAAGTTCTGTCCATTCCGGCTTTCTACTGTAAGTTATTTGCATTGATATAAGTATGGATCAGGTCTACATTTCTTTCTGCATGTTTTCCAGTTACGCTGATTGCATGGTATATTATGTTATTCAAATGTGTATCTGGTTTGTGCTGTGATAAAAATAAATATGTTTTTAAAAGTGGATAAAAGGCCTACAGTTGGGCTCTGCTTTGGGAGAAGTTATTCAGTGCTTCCAGGACATCACCTGGCAAAGGCCATGTGGTGGCCCATGCCTCTTACAGACAGACATCCCAAGCAACCTGACAGTTTCTCCCAATATATATGCAAGTCACATAAATATGTAAAATATCAATGACAGTAAATGCTTTAAATTATCTGATAAAAGAAATCCAATTAGTGTTCACAAAATATGAATCAGAAGTCATTTTGTGATTTTGAAAAGTATTTCCCTTTAGTTTTGAAAAATTGGGGTATTACATCAAATAAAAGCATATTCATATTAATTAAAACATTGGTAATGAAAGCTTACTTTTGGAAATTGAGCCAAGATATGGTTCCCTACATGTGTAAATATAACAAATTCTTTTTGTATTTCAGGATGAAACAGTATTGATATGGTATGATGGCAAAGAGGAGAAGCAGCTTAAACTAAGTCATGTTTCAAGGATTATACCTGGACAGCGAACTGTAAGTTTGCTCTATATTGCGCTTTCAATCTTTTGTGGTATTGTAAGTTTGCACAATTCTGTACTTTGATTCCTAAGAGTTTCATTTTCAACAATGTTGCCCATCCCTTTAGTTAATTGAGATTAGTTTGGGTTTGGGGGTTCTTCATCTTTCTTTATGTATTTGAGTTCATGCATGGGAGGGAGCAGGCTTGGGTATACAGGCAAGTATGGGGGAGTTGGGGGATGTGTTCTAACTGCAAACGAACTTAGAATGCAGTTACAACTGGAGTCCATCATTTCTTTTGCTTCTCTAGTTTACGAAACACCTTGTTACTTTCCACACCATATAGTGGGGGGATGGTAGCAAAAATAGAGGGGAAAAAGGAGTTGGAGTGAATTCAATTCTGCATTACAACATTTTAACACTGTCATTAAATTCGAAGAATGATTTCTTGCAAAGGACCACAGTTCATGCTTCATGGTACCTAGTTTGAAATGGCACCACTAGCCATACAAGTTGGCATTGGTCTTGACATTCTTACATGCAAAAATGGTAAAAATTCATAAGAAACAAATATAACTAAAAATGGAGAGTAACAAAACGAAACATCTGCTGGAACAATGAATGGGCCTGAAACAGCACCATATAAGTTGTGTGAAAATTCAGTATCTGCTTCAAGAAGTACCCAACAAACTTAATGACCGAAACTCATCCTTTTCCTTTAGATCAGAAATTTCTTTTGTCAACTATCTATTCAATTACCTTGTGCAGTATCTCAACAAAGTGACAAACAGAGAACTGTTTCGGAATAACGTGAGTCCTTAACTTAGAAACTCTAAAGCCCTACTCTAGTTTTGGATTACCAAGGGTTTTGTTTGGCATCTCTTAGTTTGTTTCACTAGTGTCATGTTTGAAACGTACCTGAGTCTCTGACACAGTCATTACTCTCCTTGGTGTTCTGTCCTACTTTATTTTTACAAAACTAGAGTTGGACCTGATGATACTGATGTGAAAGTAATACGTGATTTTAGTATTTCGTTTCACAACTGATACATTTCAAGCAATGTTTTAGAGCATACTCATGGAATGCTAATGGTCATCACCCTGCTCTTAAATTGCATGATTCTCTGGATTTCTTTCCGAGTATGTGTTGGCAAGAAATATTTCGAAAAAAGGTGATTGCAAAAAACACCACTTTTTTAGTGTCAGGTTTAAGTTGTGTCCTTCGAACTAACTGCACCCAAAAGCTGCTATCTTTTAAAGCTTTTCTTCTTTTCAAAGAGAGCAATTTATAGTCAAATCAAATGACTATTTAAGTGAACTTTCTTCAAAAGCATAGGCAACCAATGATAAAGTTCATGCGAGTGTACCTCATTTTTTGTTTGGCTGCATAGATCTGAAATAAGAAGGATGTTACTGGACGTGGTTTTGCAGGTTATATTTCAACGGTATCCTCGACCTGAGAAGGAATATCAATCATTTTCTCTTGTATACAGCAATAGATCATTGGATTTGGTGGGTTGATCATTTGGTTTTACTTTAAAGCACCATACTTTTTTCTTGTAAATATTTGCTTATGTATGTACTTTTATCTAATTTTTTCCACTACTCATTATCCTAGCAAATATTGTTAGACAAGAGAACCAACTAGGCCTAGCCTATTTGGCCACCATGACTCTTTTAAGGGATTATTCCCAAGGGGGAGGTCATGGGTTCAACTCTCCTTAAGGGGGAGTTGAATTAGGAGGTAAACACTTTGTGCTTTGCAAGGGTGGGGAGGCTAACTTCCAGTGGTGTTAATTTAACAACTAACAACTGACTTTCGCCGATCAAAAGAAAAAAAAAAAAAAAAAGGTTAGATAGAAGACCAACGATTTTCTTTATCTAAGCTTGACTATATAAAGGTGATAGATTGGATAGAATGTTGGCCAATTATGTCAAAGTACGATCAATGAAGTGGAAAAATTTGAATTGATGTATTATTCATCTAATCCTGGAATTGAAGGGAAAGCTTTCACCTGGGCTGGGACTTATATTTGACTGTATTACATGTCTAGTAATTTCAATTAAAGAAATGTTTTGTTGCTCAGCAGCACATAAGCAAAAAAGAGGTTTCCTGTCCTGGAATTTTAAGATATGATGGTGGATAAATTAGATATTCCATGAATTTTTTTGATATGTAATTTCATAAGATATTTCCATGTCCATGTGAAATGGAGGAAGGGGAAGGTCCTTGGTGCTTAAGGATGTTAAGGGGATGATTTTACCACTCTTTTAATAATTTCTTGTTTGTAAAGTGTATGTAGTAATTGATTTCACTTAGCTCTCAGATAACTGAATTTCGTTTTCTTTTCTTTTTCTTTTAAATTTCAAATTAATTGTAGATCTTTTGCATTATTTGGAAAGACTATAAATTTTGAAGTTATGCATAATTCAGTCCTATTTTTCTCCTTTAGATCTATCTATATGTAATGTTCAATAGCTTGATATACATTGTTGGGCACATTTCCTAATAGCTTAAGCTTTTGGGGTCATTGGTACTCCTGTTGTAGGGTAATCTGATATTTGTATATATGACTGCCATTAATGATTGGACACTGGACAGATTTGCAAAGATAAGGACGAAGCTGAAATCTGGTTTGTTGCCCTTAGGGCATTAATTTCACGGGATCACTATCAAAAGTGGAGAAGTGAATCAAGAAGTGGTAGTTTATCATCTGATGGTTCAAGTGTCCATACACAAAGAAACTCTCCATCACTTTCCTCATGTAGCAGCAGCAACATAGTTTTTAAGGTATGGTACTAATGGAATCAAATAATCCACCACTTCATTTAAAGTCTTCAGATTTTTGAGGTTTTTCTTTTCTTTTCTTTTTTTTTTCATTTAATTTTATTATACAGGATCAAGGGACTACTGAAAAAGAAGGTCAAAAAATTCCAGTTCCTTTTGCTAATCCCCCGCAGAAATTATTGGGAAGAGCATTTTCTGATGTTGTAACATATAGTGCTTCTGCGCAGTGTTACCCTCAGACAGATTCTATTGGCAGTTCTCTCAGTTCACTATCATCTGTAGGTTTAGATAATATTGATGGCCGGTGCTCTGCTGATAGTCTTCGAATCAGTTTATCCAGTGCCATAAGTTCATCAAGCCAGGGATCTTCTCTTGATGATCTTGATGCTCTATCTGATGTTTTCATTTGGGGAGAAGGAACTGGTGATGGGCTGCTGGGTGGAGGTGTGCATAGAGTTGGAAAGTCACCTGCTGCTCGAATGGATGCACTTTTACCGAAGGTTCTGGAATCAGCAACAATGCTTAATGCCCAAAATGTTGCTTGTGGAAGCAAACATGCAGTGTTGGTTACCAAACAGGGGCAGATCTTTAGTTGGGGAGAGGGGTTGGGTGGCAGGCTTGGGCATGGAATAGAAATTGATGTTTCTAACCCAAAACTCATTAGCACTCTCAGTGGATTGAACACTGAATTAGTAGCCTGTGGAGAATATCATACTTGTGCTGTTACAATATCTGGAGATCTTTATACTTGGGGTGATGCTTCCCACAATTTTGGTCTTCTAGGACATGGGAGTGAAGTCGGTCGCTGGACCCCTAGAAAATTATGTGGTCAAATGAAGGGTATGCATGTATCATCTGTCTCTTGTGGACCTTGGCATATAGCTGCCGTTACAATGGTGGGTCAGTTGTTTACATTTGGAGATGGAACATTTGGTGCCCTGGGTCATGGAGATCACAATAGCACAAGTGTGCCCAGAGAAGTTGAAACTCTTAAAGGACTACGGACTGTCAAGGTATCTTGTGGTTTTTGGCACACAGCTGCAGTTGTGGAGGTCATCACTGAACCAACAAGTTCAGGTAGCTCAACTAAAAAGCTATTCACCTGGGGGGATGGGGATAAAGGCCAACTTGGACATGGCGATAGTGACGCTAGACTCGTTCCATCTTGTGTAGCATTTTTGGATAACAAAAACTTCTGTCAAGTGGCCTGTGGTCATAGCATCACTATTGTTCTTACAACCTCAGGACGAGTATATACAATGGGTAGTGCTGATTATGGACAACGTGGGTATCCCGGAAGTGCTGATATGCTTCCCACTTGTGTCGAAGGTAAAATCAGATACAATTACATTGAAGAGATATCATGTGGTTCTCATCATGTTGCAGTTTTGAGTTCCAAATCTGAGGTTTACACTTGGGGAAAGGGAGCAAATGGTCAATTAGGGCACGGAGACAATAATGACAGAAATACTCCCACACTCGTTGAAGCTCTAAGAGACAAGCAAGTAAAGAATGTGGTTTGCGGATCTAATTTCACTGCTGCTATTTGTCTTCATAAATGGGTGTGCCATGTTGACAATTCCGTATGTTCTGCTTGCCACAGTCCATTTAATTTCAGACGAAAGCGTCATAATTGCTACAACTGTGGGCTAGTTTTTTGCAAAGCTTGTAGTAGTCGGAAATCTCTAAAGGCTTCTTTGGCTCCCAATACAAAAAAACCTTATCGTGTTTGTGATGGTTGCTTTACAAAGCTAAAGGTGGCCATGGAATCTGGATCAACTTGTAGAATTCCCAGAATACCAAGTGGAATATATCAAAATTCTAGGGAGGTAGAAGAGAAGGAGACCCTGGATTCTAAATCACTCAGCCTACTTTCTACGCTCTCCTCATTTGATTCATTCAAACAAGCTAGTAGCCAAAATTTCAAGAAGAACAGAAAATCAGACTCAAATAATGGTCATACCTCTCCATTTAGCACTGGAAGTGTCCAATGTGGAAGCTCTTGTACATCAAATATATTTGAATCCACTGCTTCTCTTCCTAGTTCTCGAACAGTATCTCCAGTCTCTATAAATTCAAGCCCCTGTCATTCCGTGTCAATCGCATCAGCATTTGCTGCCTTTTCATATCCTGAAATCATTATTGATGATTCAAAGCAAAAAAATGATGGCCTCAAGGAAGAAATGGCAATATTAAGCTCACAGGTAAGTTTGTGGTTTCACTGCATGTGCATGTCTGTTGTTATAATGTCAGTCACAGCCTGTCAAGATTAAGTGTGCTTTTTATTACTATACATGAAAAAATTGTGGAAGTACTAGTTTTTGATATATATATTTGAAGTGTGTTAGGAATCCATAACACCTATCAAGATCAACTTAGAAACGTAGATACTCTATATAAGAAGTGTGTCGTGTCCAACGCCGACACTCTTTGGACACTCCTAAACGTGTGTTCAACACCTTTTCAACATGTCTTAAGTAAAAAAAATTCAAACTCAATATCAAACACTTTATTGACACTTTGCCAACACTTCTTGAACCCTCCTAACATGTTCTATGTGATGAATAGCTTCATAATACATAGTTCACCCCAAAACTAGGGCTACGTCCACCGTCGTTGCGGTTCCACTATGATCAGAAAAGTTATAAGAGATAGAGAGATTGCTGCCTCCAACAACATATCCATAGAATTAGGACAACAGGTCACAAGTGTAGAAATATCAAAAATACTATTACTACAAATTTGGGTAGGGGGGCAAGCCCTCCGAACCCCCACCTTCAAGCAAGGGGGCACCTGTAACGTCATGCCAACTTATTAGTGTCTGATACTTGTTTATTAAGAATCCACACTTCCCCAACAAAGTGAACTTCTATGGTAAGTGCTCCTGCACCATGGGTAAAACTCTCTAACTCTCCTGTGCAAACCTAGATTGATTGCCTCACCAGTGTGGGACTAGAGACCAGTCCACCTCTTTATAGACAACTTCATGTAGCCCCACCTAGTTGATTAGAGGATGTTACTGTTGGTGCAAATTTGGTAAATGAGATGGAAAGAGATAAAACAGAAAATAATTAGTATTGCTTCAAGACGTATTATAACGTCGCTTTCCTTAAGACGATATTCGCCTTCACCAATTTTGTCGAATATGGTGTGCACCGGGTTACCTGCGAATCTGCCTCTAGGATACAATGAAGCCCACTCTAAAGATTGATGTCCGACTGTGTTATGCACGAACGAAATTAGATCCCGAATACTTTTGGATTTTTCTAATCCACCAAGTATAGAGGAAAATAACGATATGAATGTTAGAGAGAAATCTCATGGATTTTATATGGATGATTTCTGTATAATGTCCAACCCGTTCTACCTTTATATAAGCATGGGTTTGTGTCCTTTAGACCAAAGGCTGTGTCCTTTAAATTCAAAAGTGACACCTTTAAATCCAAGAGTCATGTCTTTTGATTTAAATCCAATGATTACACCCCATGGTTTAAATTCAAAAGACACACTTTTTTGTTTAAACTCAATAGTTACACCATTTGATTAAACTCAAAAGTCACATCTCTTTAATCATTCATATAACTATATTATATATTTAAATATATTATGAAAATGTTCCAACATTCCATTACCATTTTCAAAATATATGAAAATAACCACTTGGATAGATTAGGAAAATTTATGCATAAATGTAGATATCTTTCAATTTGAATCATTCACATAGTGACAACACATCAAAGTTAATCAAGATGACATAGTAGACTTGTCTTTGAATTAGTGATCTTTGTTGGCATATTATAATCACCGAAAGTCTTAGTATTTTATTAGCCGAAAGGCTTGGGTCTGTAATCATTGTGATACCCTCAGGGATCATCTTGTAATTGACTTTGTTTGTAAACCCTAATCTTCATGTATAAATAAGGGGTGATATCGAAACCCTATAGGTTTAGCTCTGATACCATGATTCAAAGCTTCAATCTTATACAATTAATCGGACACGTCTTACACACAAATTTTCTTCTCCTTGGGTAATTCAAAAAGCCGACACATGGATTGGCCTTGTCTCTATATCCTGTTTCATAAGCGCTCTAGAATCAAGCCCTTGAACTCATAGGAAGCGATACCACCTCCTACACTCATATAGGTAAGTTTACTGAGAGTACTCTTGTAAAGAAAGTACCCTAACTCACCGTTGTAAACTTATTAAGAGCTAAGTAGCTCAACCTCCTCTTTTGCATTACAGGTCCTAAGCACTTTATACCTTGGGATGGTTATAAAAATAAAAATTTAAGTGCTTGCAATCACGACACATGGTGTACTTGGGCTCATTGAACTCAAGGACTTGATGTTTCTTCAAGTGTTGAGTCAAGTTTTCACCAGGAGTTATATATTAATTGGGCTTAAGATTCATCCCATTTGATTATCTCACATCAAATCTCTTGCAAGTATTTCTTAAGATAATTTACAGTCATGTGGACAAAATTCTTACATAGTTATGTATTACCACATTTTATGACGTGATCAACATGTTTGGACTAACAATCACTATCATAACTATCAACTCATATTAATGATGAGTTTGCATCCTGAAAAATTCAAGAAAAATCCATGATAAAAATACCTTGTCACTCCATCTCTTTTGTTACAAGAGACTAAGAATCATCTCTTCAATTCTAAGAGATAAATCCCGACCAAGAGTAATCTTTATTTACTCTAAGCCATAGTTTTAATGCTAAATATTTAAACAGGCACCTATGTATCCTTTCAAATAATCGGATACCTACTTTAACATATAAATTAACCATTCTCAATAACTTTGAGAAAATTAAATTGTACGACTTAAGCAATCAATAGTAAAGATATTTGGAACTAATACTTTTGTGCTTGTATTTGTTTTGAATCATAAATTGACCAATCAATATAAAATTTTCATTCAAACAGAAGTCACATAAATTAGAAATTCTAAATTATTTATTCAGAAAATTTACCAAGTATATAACAAATACTCTATATTTTCTCAAGTTTCAAGAAATCACAATCCAAAAATCATACCTTGATCTTAATAATTAAAATCATAACCTGATTTTAAAAACACATTCTCGAAAACTCCCACAAAATATTTTTCAAATATTTGTGCCTTTCTTTTTCCAAGTTCTGAGTCATTTTATGAAAAGATCAAACATATCACCTTCCAAATGTATAAACGAACATATAGACTAACTATATAAATAGTTTAATAAAACTTTAAAACAAATCATATTAACAATATCTTACAAAACTTAGAAGTTTCATGCAAATTGATAATATGTAAATAAAATAATAAAATCACGTGTTTCACAAATAACATATAAAATGTTGCAGAAATAAAGTTGACCCAAGTTCTATCACTGAACACTGAAAGCCACAAAGATTTTACTTTCTGAATTACTCATTGATTGTAAACATATACCAACAAAAATTATATCTATTATGCAATAGAGAAAGCAAAACTTAAATATTCATAACAGTTTCTTTTATGGCATAAATTCAAAATTGATCAATAACAAACTAATTTCAAAACGGAATATGAAATACTAATATCTTACAATTTGACTTTCATCAAATGTATACATATATATCTTGTTTCATGTTGATTAGAATTTAATGCTTTTATATTAAATCACCAAGTCAAACCCCCTCACCACTGACGGTTACAAAAACAAACAGCAACCTCCTCTTACACTAAGGACAAGACATGAAGATCGAGAGATACACACAAGTGCCTAGTTGGAAACTCCAATTGGTTCAAATATAAATTTGATTGTGTAGACAAGAAAGTCAAACTAACATTTTAATGACAAACAGAAAATAAAAATAAAAGATGATATTGGCCACTAAAATTGCCAATCAATATTTATGCCCATGTATTCAGTATAAAAAAGGAACATAAATTTCCAGTAGCATAAAGATCACAAATTTATTGGCACAAACTTATCTATATATATTGTTAAAATCCACCTACTCTCCACCTACTTCACCCACTTAAACCTACTCCACTAAACCTAACCCACTACACCACTACCACCTCACCTACTCCACTAAACCTAACCCACTACACCACTACCACCTCCACTTCACCTACTCCTTACCTACTACACACTCACCCTCTTCTATATATAGGAATCATGAATCATTGTAATAGATATCAATATAAATCAATCAATAATACAATTCTCTATTTCTCTTTATACATTAAATTTCTACATATATGACCATGCACAAATGTAGATTTGCATAAATAAATGCGTACCTTTCTAGTAAAAGAGGATACAAATACCTTAAACCATTTATTGAGTGACCTTTTTGAATGAGTGAACAATTCAAACCTTTTGATCACAACATCAGAACCATCCTGAGGCGAACCGATTCCATATCCGATTCCTTAGTGACTTAAAGAGCATTTCCGTATCCGAACCGATTCCTTAATTAACACCTCACCAATATTGAAATTAGATCAATACTTTGGAGTGGTTTGGGATGATTTAAATAGTGTACTTTTTGACTTTTTATGAAATATAGATTGGGTTTGAAGCGATGTGGTAGAAAGGTAATGTGACTTAAATAAGATGATGCAATTTAAATAGGATAGTGATTTTTTGACTTTTTTAAGTTATGACAAACAAGGCCTTTGTTGTTAATCGTATGTTCATTTATTTTCTTCCATCTCTTAGGGAATATCGTCTTAAGATTGTTGGTGCAAATTTGGTAAATGAGATGGAAAGAGATAAAACATAAAATAATTAGTATTGTTTCAAGGCGTATTACAACATTGCTTTCCTTAAGACGATATTCGCCCTCCCACCAATATTGTCCAATATGGTGTGCACCGGGTTACTCGTGAATCCGCCTCCAGGATACAAAGAAGCCTAGTCTAAAGATTGAAGTCCAACTACGTTATGCACGGATGAAATTAGATCCCTGAATACCTTTGGATTTTTCTAATCCACCAAGTAAAGAGCAAAATAACAATATGAATCATTGAGAGAATTTTCATGGACTTCATATGGATGATTTCTATAATTGCTAACCCATTCCGTCTTTATATAGGCATGGGTTTGTATCCCTTAGACCAATGGTCATGTCCTTTAGATTCAAAAGTGACACCCTTTAAATCCAAGAGTCATGTCTTTTGGTTTAAATTCAATGGCCATGGTTTAAATTGAAA